CAGGTACTAACTGAATGTATTATCCAATTATGTCCAAGTAAAATATGCTCATGCTATGTATATCACTATACGAGCCGGGGGGGGGGCACTCGCCTCGGAACTGGGTAGCAGGGTGCCTCGGGGACCTGAAAACCTGACCCTGTCGAAAACCGCCCTGCGCCCTAAAATACACCCTGTCCCAATATACTAAAAAGTATACCCTGTTGCAATATTGCACATTTTGGTTATGTCCTGTCCTGTCAATATAGGCAGATATTGGCCCAATATTGGCCTGGTGATATTGGCCCAATATTGTTTTACCAATACTGGTCCAATATCAGCTTGATGGGTGTGTATCTATATAACCCTGTGCCAATAATGATGTTAGGAAAATATACCCTATGCCAATAAAGATGTTCAGAAAATATACCCTGTGCCAATAAAGGTGTTCGGAAAATATACCTGTGCCAATAATGATGTTCGAAAAATATACCCTGTCTAGCGGCACGTCCCCAGTACCTTTAACAATGGGAGTGCCCCCACCCCGGGTATACGAGTAACGATTAATGATTGTATGCCGAATTCTGAGATTTAACATCGTACATCAAATTGCGGCATGCACCCTGCCATAAAAGAAAAAGAACGTGCTGCAAGATCCTTGTGTTTGCACGCGATTGCATCATCGTCCTGAAATGTTTAATTAACTCGTTTAAATTCATTTGAAAAAAATGATAATGCTCAAACATTCCCTTTGCGAATAGGAATTCCCGTACGTCTTAACTCATATATACTTAAAAGAAGTCGAGCGCGAGATTGTTTATTTAATTAATTACAATTCTGTCTCCGAGCCACGATCAAAGATATGCGATTACGCTGCAGCGTCCTTCGCGCCGCGATTTGTAACAGATAGCCACTTGTTTTACGCGGTTGCTAACGAACCGTGGAGTCGCCTGCCGGCACCGCTGAACCAAGCCGCGGCGTTTGACACTGTGGCAGGAACGCATGAATGCTTCCCAAATTGGAGCCGCGTCAGGTAGCTTGTTGCTGGCGTGCCAGGTTCACTGTACCCACTGCCAACGGCAGGATTAGCTGCTTTCTTTTTCTGCGAGTCGTGGGCAGGATAATATGACGAGCTTCGCCCGGTGCGAGCGCACATAACCCGGAGGTCTTTGGGAGTGGTCGCAACAAACTATAAAACTGCGAAGAGTAGTAGCTGGCGCAAAAGCGACGACACAGCGTTTTCGCGATAACGTGTTTGACACGGGCTGACGACATTGTTTGCCAGTTTTTCGCCAGGAAACGAGTCTATAGGTTCGGCTGCGCCGAGGCGACGCCGGCATGTTTTAGAGGCGATTTTCGACGTGTGCCTTTTTGCTGGACGTAGCTAACGACCCGACGTTTGCACTTCGGTCGTTAATTTGTTAGTCGAGAAACGCTCTGCAGATTTTTGCAAATATTGCCCAAGGTGTGGTGTAAGAGAATCGTGGAGCGAGGTTGGATCGCCGACACAACCATTGTCTGAATTTCTGGCTTCCGTTTGCACGTCCAGGTTAGTATAACAGTCATATAATAGGTTGAAATTAGTATATATATATATATGTATATATACATATATATATATATGGAGAGAAAGTGAGAGAGAGAAAGAGAGAGAGATGTGTGCGTCTTGCGTGTTTGTGCGTGCGTACGCGTGCGTGCGTGTGTGGCCGTGCGTGCGTGCGTGCGTGCGTGCGTGCGTGCGTGCGTGTATGCATGTGCGTCTATGCGTGTGCGTACATGGAGGTCGCGCGCAATATTGCGAGTTACGTCCTTCTTGTGTTTTATGATTTCTCATTGTCTCGATCCCCTGCAGTCACTTGTTCGTAATATTAAGCAGCATTTTATAGCGCAAGCGTAGAGTTTATGTGCGTGCCGCGGGAAAGCGTCGTGGTTAGTCACAGCCGGCATCTGAAAGACTGAAACAGACATTAACGGACTGATATACTCCCGGCCGCCTACTCATTGTCGGCAACAGATCGCCGACGAGTTACACACGTTATTTATGTCGCCGCACAAAGTTATACGACCATTTATATATACAGGTTACAAATTCGAACGGTTTGCCCCATTCCTACAGCTATCGCAGGGAAACGCATCTGTCGCGCGTAACTCTTCGGGTTTGGAACCACGGGGCAAAGGGTGGAATCACGCTTAATGACCGTATATCAGTTATTGTTGCTCTCGCGCCTCTGCAGACAACGACGGCTATCCCGTTTACAGCATGGCGTCGACCTTAGCACTCCAGGTTTATGTCACGCCCGGTCCGTAACGATAGAAAGGGACGCGATCCCCGAGGCAATGATTTCAGCAGGAGAAATATATAGCTTTTGTGCTGGCACCGAACCAGCTGTCCCCCTGGTTATTAGCCTAACCATGTACAGGTTCTGGTTAAGTACATAGCTTTCCGCCTATAAGTTATGTATGGTACAGGTGTGGTTGACTAGAATGTGTCCGGAGTTTCTAGGTGTTAACTTATTTGTGTAAAGTAATTAATGTAGCCCTATAAATGTGGGTGTGGGTTGCACACGGTGTGGGTGCTGCAAGTTTGAGAACGTTACGTCGGGCTTTCGGAACATCGATTCATCCGCGCGCAAACATTTTAGGTCCAACATTTTAGATTGACAAAGTTTGTTCTAATACGTTACACTACTACTATACTTATTACGTTATATTATCTTCTACTGATATCGTAATCGTTTATTAATCGTGGCAATGAAGAGTTCTGACGTGTGTGTGTGTGTGGGGGGGGGGGTAATTCTACGACGTAATAAACGTGTGGAGAGAGGGAAATGTGGCGAGCTAGTCGTTTTAACGCAAACTATATACGAGTTCAGTTAGCCGTTTACCGCCATTAGTGCGTCCACAGCTAGTCCCTACAGAGAAAGAAAACCCCCGGCTCGAAACTACATCTAAAACGGATGACAGAAACTGCATTTTTGAGAAATTTAGTGTAATATTTTTGCAAACGCAGATCTCGAATGCGCATTTAATGGGTATATCACGACTTTTTAATATATGATCGTCCCTCGTGTATAATATGTCGCGTGCTTATAAACGCGTTATGCGTGTAATTGTCACACATTAAGGCAGGCTGGGTATGTGGAATACGCTTACAAACGCTTTAAACGTCTTTATTGAACATGAATCTAACTGGGTTGCGCTACTTAGACGGACCAGAAAATAACCAACGCCACGTCTGACATTTCGCCCACGTATAATGTAGCTTCACAAAATTTCTATTCTCTCTATTAAATTCCTGATAAATACGTTGGATATATCACACTATAAACGATGTACAGGGAGCTCTTGTATGACGGGTAATGATGCACCTTAACTAAGGATCGCGTTTTGAATAGATGCGGCGTTTTTTTACTCAACAGGTGATCATTGCGTTCGAACAAAAACAAAACTGGAACGACTGGACGATTGGGAAAGAATTAGAATAAATCCCACTAGGGCGTGCAGTTTTTTCTATGATCTTTTTCTCAAACTAGTTTACATCGTGACATAGTGACAGCTGATGATGCCAATGGTTCGTTCAACTGTTCTAATAATGGTGCAATCGTTGAACACTGCCATGCATGGAGTCCGATTGTTGTACCCATTGACACATTCACCCACATACCCATAGAAGAGAGAATGCGCAAGTGAAAGTGTGGGCGCGATAGGAAAACCCCTATCGGAGATACTCGAACAATATTAACAAAAGACTACAATTCGGCGGAAAGACAAACGGAAATGGTACAAGCGATAAGATAAGGTCAATTCGACCTACCACCTACCGCTTCAAGAGCCCTCATGCTATTGATGCGCACAGAGGGCTTTTGTAAATGGAACGTGCGCGCGTACGGACGCGCGCGCAGACGCACAATGTCAAGAAAAAGCAAAACGATTTTAATTAAGCCCCTTTCAGCCCAAATACAACGCACGCCTGACGTTTGGAGTGCAGACGCACCGAGCAGCGATATTCACTTTCTCTTTCGGTGCTTCGTTCTCCGTCAACGTTGTCTGGCCGCCGATGAAAATTATCTGATAGCGCCTGCACGCATGCGTAACGGACACACTCGAGCGTGAATGCGCGCAGACGTAGTCTGCCGTTTGAGACTATATATAT